CCCCCCCCCCCCTGTGGGAGCACATGTACATATACTTTTATCTAAATGATTTTTCTTCTACATGCATGTTTTTATATTTTCTTCTGTGTTTGGACATGAATGTTCCAGCTCTGTCTTTATTGCTGCTGTAACAACGGGAGCTTCTCTGTGGGATTAACAGAGGCTGAGCTTCAGCATTGCTACAGTTTGCTTTGCTGCATTTGTCCTTTAAATCCACTTTATGACTTCAGATGTAATTTCACTTATTAAAACAAAGACATATTTAAGCTGAGCGACGTACGTGACAGAAGGATGAGAGTCAGTGTTTCGTTGCCACCTCTCAGACATTTAGGACACACTTGTTTCCTTCATTTATTGTGATGACAAAACAAATAGTTGTGTTTCTAACAGCTGGTTATAACCTCTGACGCTCTCGGTGTCAGACGGCTTTTGATGAACACAACAGCAGGAAAATGAAGGAGCTGTGTTTGTGCTGGAGTGTGTCAGAGCTGGGACCACAAGACCGTTTGTGAGACCAAATGATATGTGTGTTAACCACAGGCGCTGCCTCCTCCCCGTGTTCAGAAATAAACATAATAGCTGCGTTTTGTCGTCACTCGGTTCGCACTAAAACCGCTCTGTGCTCTCGTTTCTGCCTGTTTCGTTCCCAAAAGGCTGGAAAGTCCACGCTGTGCGTTTGAAGCGTCCCACACTCCTCTCCAGCGTTTCCAACATAAACCACTTCCTGCTGCTCAGAACGAAGATCTGACCTCCAACTGAACACAAACTGATAGTTTTGTTGTTACATAATTAATCTTGTTTCAGTTACAGAAACTTTCAGTACTTATCTGTGAAACACTAACAAATAGCACTGTTACATTTGTGACTGCATGTGATTTAAGTCTATTCACAGTTTTAACATGTTCAGCTTTTGTCATTTTACTGATGTTTCATGTAGACAGAGCAGATATTTCCCCACGGCGCGGCGCCCTGCAGCAGGACGGCTGCGTTACATCATCGTTACTTCCTGATGTTTCAGTGAAATGAACCTGAAATGTTTTATTGTGATTCTGGAAAAATAAAGTTACAAATGTTTCATCAATGAACTCAGTTTTTTATCACAATGAAGAAGGAACGCCTCCTTAATGAAGATGTTATTATTTATTATTATTTGTTTAACAAATATAGAAAAGACTGAGAACAGCAGAAGAACCTGTGTGGCTCAAACTGGCACGATGTTTAAATCCCATCAGCTAATGAAGAGCCGACATCCTTACACGGACCGGAACCACCTACCGCCATTTCTCCAGTTTCTGATGCCTCGCGACGCTCGACTGACACGTGACGAGAAGAGACGGCGAGGAATGTGAGCCTTCATCATCAGAGGAAACAGCACTTATTGAACAACGTGGTTCATTTAAGAACCTGCAGCATCTTAACT